ATAGCGCTTCGCTACAGCCGCGAGAGTCTCCTCGCCCTCGGGACTCTCCTTTCTCTTTTTCTGTCATCCTTTCCTCGGTTCCTTCTCCACCTTAAACCAAAGGGGAGGAGAATGCATTCTGAGCGAAGGGATTCTAAAGAAAAGCGAAGAAAACAGCCCCCACCGCCCTCCCCACCCACGGAGCGCACCGGGGCGCACGCAGGCTCCATCTTGGGCCGAGGGAAGAGCCAGGCGGCTGCGTTTCGGGCCGGGAGACGCTGCGGAGAGGGGAGGACGCGCAGCCCCGCGTCCCGCTCGCCGGCTGCTCCTCAGCAGCTCTCCTCTCGCACCCAACCCCTTGAGGCTGGCGGTTTGAAGTGTCTTTTCAATGGCAGGATGTGGGTTTGGAGGCGAATGCGGCGCCTTAAAACCAGTACCCAGGTCTGTCCGAGGGCGCTGGTATTTTGGTTCAAAGGCAGCTGCTGGTGGCCCCGAACAAGGGGAAGAAAGGAAGACCCTGGAAGGAGACAGGCGCGCGGCTCAGCGGCGGCCGGGGGACCCCATGGGGACGCGCGGTTTGAGGACACCTCTTCTTACATGGACGAGATCCGGAGAGGACTTCAGGGTGCTCCCAAGCCTGCGAAATGCGGAGGCGCCCACGTCCGGCCTCGTCCCCCGCATTCGCGGGTGGAGGTCCCTGAGAGGGGCTCCTTAAAAGCACGTCCACCAAAGCAAGGCGCTGGAGCGGGGCGTGGGGTGGCACCCCCTCTCCGCAGGGCGCCCCTTCCCCGCAGAGGAGCATCTAGGCCCAGGACGTGTGCAGTGGGAGTGGGTTGGAGCTAGGACGAGAAAACTCGACTCTAGGCTGAAACGTGACACGCGCATCTTCACCGGGTTAAACAAACAGCCGAGCAAACTGCGGCTTCGGCGGGGGCGGCGGTGGGGGGCGGACGCGGCTCGCGCCGGCCTCTTTCCAAAGTTGTTAAAACGTGAAAATCAGCAGCTCGGTGCAGCGTGTTGTATGAGCTGAGGCCTCCCACCCGCGCGCAGCCCCCAGCGAAGCCCGGCGGGTCATCAGGCACGTCCCACTGTTCAGTCCCATTTGACAACTGGGTTAGCCTGGTATCTAGGCGCTTGGCGAAGCGCTACAAAGGGTGCCCTCAATTACCACCAGAAGCTTCTGGTGTGAGTGGCACTTGCATTACTCCCCGGGTCAAAGGCCAGAGCGACAATTAGGAAGTCACTTAGACCGCTGGGGGAAAAGGCGGGATGCCGCAGGCTCCGGGCCTCCCAAGCCTGCGGGTGTAGACTTGGACCGAGAGGCCTCCTCTCCCCTCGGAGGAACTGTCCCCTCGCGTCCTCTCCTCAGTGGACTCAGTAAAACTGAATCCAGTGGGAATACGGAACTGGGCAGGAGACAAACGACAATGTTAAAGTCGCGAGCGATAGTGAGCGATGGATCCCAGCTGAAGTTGTGCTCCGAGGGCGAAGCCGGGACACACACAGCGAGCGCTGACATTTGCGTCTCCGCTCGGGCCTCGCTGGTGCGGCCTCCGCCTCGGCGCCTCCTCCCCTCCCGCTTCCTTTCCCACAGCGGGGAGTGGAGTCGGACTGCCAGTTCTAACTCGCATCGTCTCGGGGTGCTTCGGGGGGCTTGTGGCTCAGCCTCAACGGTCCTTAAACCCGGCTTGTTGCGCGCGTGTAAATTTTTAATTGCCCTGTAATCTCTTCAGTCCCCAGCCCGCGACCCCCCTCCCCGCCAGCCGCCTTGACTGGCACGCGCCGGGAGCCCGGGCTCGGGCCGGTCTGCGCGTCTGATTGGCTGCGGGGCAGCTCCCGTCTGCTCTGCCTGCGCCCTCATTGGGCGAGAGGCGCAGCCAGCGGCACTTCAAAGCGGGTGCTCCTCGCACTTAGGCTGAGTTTAGCCGGCGGGATCCCGGAGTCCGCTCGGCGCGAGCACGGGGACGCGGGAGCTGCGCGGGACCCGAGCAGTTCTGCCCAGCAGCCGCCAGGCTCAGCCCCGCTCCCGGCCCCGCCGCGCAGCCCAGGGACCTGCTATGGCCACGTCTATACTCGGGGTAAGTCGGCAGTGCGGCAACGCATTCGCTTGTTTAAACTGGAGTAATTTTTCGTTATGGCTTCTCCGGATAACTGTTGCTGCCGGACTGTAGCTTCAACTTCTTTCAGCACTTTCCACATCTTAGGGACTGATTCTTTCCGAGTTATTGGCACCTAGGGGGTGCCTTGGTAAGAGAGTGATTTGTTAAGCAAGTCCTTTTAAATTTGGCTTTTAAGAAAACCTAGAGGTTTCTTTTCTTCCCTCGGTGATTTATACCCCATC